TGGCGAAGGCAGCCGTGAGGGCCATCTTCTTCGCCCACCTCTTGCATAACATGTTACCTGCAGCAAGCTTCTGAAGCTTACCCAAACGCTTAACCGTGGCTTGCCTGCGTGCTGCCTGCTTCGGCCTAGACGCCCCGACTCTACCTCGGTCTATGCCTAGGTCAGCACTGACTAGTTTGACCTGGATGTCTATCTGGTGTCCCTTGAAAAACTGCTGCAACTGCTTGGCTACACTGGTGCTCGAGCAGATGATGCACGACTTACTGGCCATGGAAAGGTGAGCCTGTTCGAGACAACGGACCAGCTTCAGCCCCGCACTTGAGAGCTGTCTGAAAACTGACTCACTTGTGCCGTGCATGCATTGCACAATGTCATCCGCCCAAGTGTGCAGGCTCGGCTCCGCAGGAGCCCCAGTGACAAGTTGCGCGCAAACATGGTGCAGGGCAGCTCTTCCTAAGTCGACTGCACCACTGCTACCTGGAATGAGTGACAGCTCTGGGTCTACAGGGGGCGAGTAGCCGCCCCCATCTCGAAGAAGCCTGACCGCCATGTGTACCTGCAACTCTAGAGCAAGATAGCAAGGCGGGACATCTAGATCCAGGGCCTTCTCCAATATGAGGTCCCACCGGAGGCTATCATAGAACCCTTTCACATCCCAGAGCAAACTACCACTGTGAAAGTCGGGGAAGCTTGAATTGGCTGCTTCCTCATCCCGAAAAAGGCGCAGCAACGCAACTTGCAGGGCCGAGGAGCCCGCCAGCGCCGTGTCCCACGTGCCAGCAGTGTCCCTCGTCCAGGCAGCTCGGTCATCGTTTCTCAGCCTGCCCCAGAATCTCACCAGCCAGGCAAGCAGGCCAATCGCACGATCCGCTTCCAAGTCCTTGACCTGGAGGGTGACAAGAATGACCAAGACTTGCCATGGCCAACAGCACCCCCTTTCCACCTGGGAGAGAAGCCCTGCCAGATCCTGCAGGCCCGCCCTAGGCAACCAGAGGAAGTCCTTCTTCGTCATCTGGTCTACCCCTGGCGCGCGGTCTGGCAGGGCTGAGATGAGCCTGGAAATCTGCTCCTCAGTGATCGGTTTGGGCTCGAGTGCCTTAGCCTTCGACTGGGCTTTCCACCAAAGTTCGGAAACACGCTTGAAAGTGGAGGGATCCCCTTTCCACTTTAGGCTCCACACTCTGGCCCTGGCCTCCATGCGTGCACAAGAATCTGGAGCTGGGTCACCCCAAGCCCTCATTTCGCCAACAAAAACTGCTTTGTCTTTGAGCCTGTTGTACAGCCCCCGTCCACCTAGCTGGTCTTGCTGCAGGACCCACTGGTGGAACTTGCCGAGACTGGGACCTCTGGGCTCTGACAGAATTGGAGTAGGCCTGCCTACTGAGGTCCCTGATGGAGTCATCAGTGAGCTCCCAAATCACCCTGAGACTTCGGCACCACTTGGCGCGCACAGGAGGAGGGAGAGGCATCAGAGGAGAGACAGGAACAGAGACCGACAAGTCCCTCAAGCGCTCGCCTAACCTACTGGCCTTACTAGAGCCCCTCTGGTCCAGGAGGCCCACAAGGTCCTTCAACAGGAAATCCACCGTGGCCCACCAGTGCGCCACAGGGTCCCTAGACGAGACAAAGTGGGCTCCTTGGGCCTCGGGTCTCCTAGTGAGCTCTCCAAGGGAACCTCTACCTCGGTACTTATTTTGACCACTCGGATGTATCTCCAACATCGCGCAAAAAATGACTCAAACTTCTCAGTCCAGTCCGCGAAGGACCTGCCAACAGAAAGCGACGCCTCGGGATCCAACCGAAACGCCTTCGAATCCTCTATGTACTTCGGCTGCGTGCCCTGTGGCCGACTGGCCGACAGAGCGTGCCAGAGCCTGTCCTGGGCTTCTGGCGCCGTCTCGAGGAGCAGCTGCGAGACGCTCTCTCCCTGCGCTGCTGGAGGGGCGGGGTCTGCAGGGCCTCCTGCACCCGTCGCCGCACCTCCTGGGGGGGGCGGGGTCTGCTGGTCCACCAGCGCCCATCGCCGCGCCCCCCGCGCCCTCGGCGCCACCCTGGCCGAACTGGCCGTCGTCGTCGCCAGTCGACTCGCCGTCGTCCTCCTGCTGCGGGTCACCCTCTGACTCCAGGCCCCAATCCTGCGCCCCCAAGTACTGCAAGGGAGGCGGCATCTTGAACCTGATCTGCCTCCGCGCTCTCGACGGAGGACGTGGTAGTTCTGGCTCTGGCTCAGCGGCGGCCTCATTGAGCTGGCGTAGCAGGCGCTGTCGAGACCTCTTACTGGTCGGATCCGCTTGCTTCTTGGGCCTCGGTGGGTACTGAAATCTCTGCGGCAAACTGAGTACCCATCTCTGAGCCTTCTCTAACCTCAGCTGCAACTTCGTCAAGATGCCGAAGTGCGACTTACCTGCTCCAAAGCATGCTTCTTCATCAACCGTCATGTAGCAGACGAACCGAACCATCGAGCGTGACAGAACTGCGAAATCAATCATCCTCTTTTGGCCAGCCGTGCATGTGTATTCTGCACCCGAGGGGACACGAATCAACCCGTCCACCAGCGATGGCCACCCTGACTTCTGCAGCTCGGTCGGGGTCGCGTTGAAGTCCCCAATGATCAGCCACGGCGTCTTGATAGACTGCAACAGCGTACCTAGCTGGATCAGCTTTGACACGTTCAAGCCTGTGATGCCCACATCCGCAGTCAAGTAGATGCCGAAGACAGAGATAGACTGGCCACCAATCTTGAGCTGACATCCTACAACGTCTCTGACATCAATCCCCGACACGGTGGTGTCTGGCTCCTGGATCTGTCGGAGCCCCATCTGCATATGTCTGTCGGTCGCAAGGCGGCGAACACTCTGAGACTGAAATCTCTTCTGGACTCCCATCGGGATCCCACCAGCCTTGGCCGACGCCTTCAACTGGTAGGATGGAGCCACCACTGGTTGGTACCCTTTAAAGCTCCAATCATGGAGCACCTCTGTACACATATCTGGGAGAACGTGCAACTCGGGCAGAATGACTATGTCGTACAAGCCCTCAGCAAGAAGGCATTTGGACGAGTGCCCCCAGCCCGAGAGGTTCCTCATATACAGAGTGTGCGCGTCACCCGCACGGTGGCTCCCCCTCCGTCTTCTGCTCACGCAGGTTGCGGACGAGGGCATCAACCTCACCCTGCAAGCGGCCAGACGCGCCTTGAGCGAATGCTCATCCCCAGGAGCTGTCGCGGCGCGAGGGGCGGGGTCTGCTGCCGAGCCACGGACAGCACCCGTCGCCGCTCCTCGCGCAGGCGCCTCAGGGGCTGCGTCGGCACCTCCACGGGGTGCGCTGGACGCTGCTCCCTGGCTCGCTGGTTCAGCCGCAACCGGAGCCTCGCCCAGGTTGCCTCTCCTCTTCTTGCGGGCTCTCTCGAGGACAGCTGAGACTTTGGCCTTCTGATCCTGCAACTTCTCATTGATTTGACCATACGTGTATTGCACCGCTTTGCGCAACCAGACCTGGAGCTCACCCTTCGTCTTCTCCAAGATGTCATGGTCCGATTGCGTGGGGCCCAACCCGTCCAGGTCGACTCCCAGACTGATCTCCAGCTCCAGGTTGCCGTCGAGCACTTCTTGGATGTCCAGGACAGCACCCCGTGGCACGGGCAGTTCCTCAGGTGGCAAGAACTCTTTAGCCTTCGCGATCTCTTCACGTTCAGCTTCCATAACCTCAGTCGCGCATGCGCGAAGCTTCCCCGTGCACCGCTCCAACTCCTGCTTGGCTCTCTTCCACTGCTCTTTGGCCGCCTCCATGGCCTTGCGTCCTCGCTGCAGGCGGGCCGCCGCCATTTGGAGGGCCTGCCCTGGCGGCCGTGGCTTGGTCTCGGGGGGGGGGGGGGGCTCGCAGGGTGGCCACCAAGGAGTCGACAGCACGCTTGGTGTCCTCCCCCCCTCCCAGTTTGGCCGCCAAGGCACAGAGCTCCTGCACAGCGTCACCGTCAGCAGGAGCAGCGCCCCCCTGACGGCCATGGCCAGGCCCACGCGACTTCTGGAACTTTGCGCCACACTCGCACGTCCAGCTCTTCGCCTTGAGCCTGTCCTGGAAGAGCCACCGACCACGCGAGGAACACTCAACTTGGGCTCGGTACTGGCGTTTCCCCCAAGTGTTCGCTCCCCACGACGGCGGCGGCGGCATAGATCCAGGCAGTGGAGGATAGACGATCGGATTCCACCATTCTCCGTAGCGTGAGGCAGGCTGCTGCCTCCATGGCGGTCGCCGAGAGCCAGCTGGCGCCATCGACAACCGTCCATGTTCGTGAAACTCGATGCTGTGTCGCCTGGAGGCTCACACAGCGGTGCGCTGAAACCCTTGGGAACTAGCCGCGGACTAGCGGTATCCACTCGTTTCCCAGGGAAGCTCAAAACCTTGAGCCAAAATGGCTACGGAGGCCTACTCGAGCCCTCGAACGAGAAGCATGAAAACCCAAGGAAAATCCATCATGTGTGCCTTTTGGGGGCCCTCTTGGGGGGCCTCCTGCAGGCCTCTTGGAGCGCTTCGGAAGCTTCCTGCGCCATCTTGAGGTCATTTTCGGAGTTTTCGGAGCCATCGTTCGGCGACTCGGTGCCCTGTTGGACCGTCTTTGGGGCCTCCTGGGCCGTCAGGGAAACCTTGGAGAGCCCCAGGTAGGCGCCATGGCCGCCCAGGGACCCCCTGGGAGCATCGCCAATACACGCAGCGAGGCGCTTCCCGCCCGCAAGCTCACTCCCACCCGCCCTCCCAACACATACGTAGCACCCGAGCCTGGCCCGAGCCTCAGCATATGCAGCAATCGTCTTTGGATGGGCAGCAACTGGGGGCGCATCCGCCGCCGCCGCCTCCGCAGCCGCTGCCGCCGCAGCCGTTGCCGCCACCGCTGCCGCCGCCGCCGCCGCCACCGCCGCCGCCGCCGCCCCCGCCGCCACCGCCACCGCCGCCGCCGCCGCCGCAGCCGCCACAGCCACTGCCGCCGCCGCAGCCGCCGCAGCCGCCGACGCCGCCAAGTGTACTCTGTATGTTTTTTTTGGCAGGGATGGCGGGGGGAGGCCGCATCGGGTTGGCTGCGCATGCTCCGAATCTGGCGGCAGAGTATGTTTTGTATTGTTTTTTGCAAGGGCTGGTGGGGGGGATGCCCGCATTGTTCCTTGTTGGCTGACTGTCGCATGGGGGAGAGGGTGTATATGAATAGGGAACAGTGATAAAGCCCTCCCCTACGGATAAGAGGGGTTGTTTTGGAAGAGGAAAACAAGATCTCGTCAGATCGCCTGTCGCCCAGAGGGCTGGCGGGACTTAGCGTCTGGGAGTCGAGGAGGTAGCGCCGATGTAGCGCCGATGAGCGTTGATTAGCGTCGATTTAGCGTCGATGGGTGTCGATTTAGCGTCGATTACCGTCGATTCGCAAGAGCCGGCAAGACGGTATGGGAGGCCCCCATGAGTTACCACCGAAGCATCACGGGCCTCGTTCCAGGATCGAGGAAAGCTGGATGGCCGTTCGGTGACAGTGGGGCGCCAGCTATCGAGCGCACCATGGGGATCAGCAGGTTCCAGCGCGACTGCAAGAGAGTGCGGTGCCTCCAGAGGTTCAGCAAGCTCGTCTCGCTGGTCAGTTACCGTAAGCTCTGGCGTCACGTGCCCCGCTACACGACCGAAGGTCCCAGTGCTACCGTCCGCATGCGTCCCCCCCACCCAGTACAGCGTTTCGTGACCCCATATGGGAGCCCCACCGAAGGTCCCATTGCTACCGTCCGCATGCGCCCCCCCCACCCAGTACAGCGTTTCGTGGCTCCATAAGGAGCCCCACCGAATGACCCAACGCTACCTTCCGCATGCGTCCCCCCACCCAGTACAGCGTTTCGTGGCATCATAGGGAGCACCGCCGAAGGTCCCAGTGCTACCGTCCGCATGCGTCCCCCACGCCCAGTACAGCGTTTCGTGGCCCCGTAGGGAGCCCCACCGAAGGTCCCAGTGCTACCGTCCGCATGCGTCCCCCGCGCCCAGTACAGCGCCTCGTGGCTCCATAGAGAGCCCCGCCGAAGGTCCCAGTGCTACCGTCCGCATGCGTCCCCCCAACACACAGGACAGCGCTTCGTGGCCCCCTAGGGAGCCCCGCGGAAGGTCCCAGTGCTACCGTCCGCATGCGTCCCCCCACCCAGTACAGCGTTTCGTGGCCCCATAGGGAACCCCACCGAAGGTCCCAGTGCTAGCGCTTCGTTGCCTCATAGGGAGCCCCACCGAAGGTCCCAGTGCTACCGTCCGCATGCGCCCCCCACGCCCAGTACAGCGCTTCGTGGCTCCATAGGGAGCCCCACCGAAGGTCCCAGTGCTACCGTCCGCATGCGTCCCCCGCACCCAGTACATCGTTCCGTGGCCCCGCAGGGATCCCCGCCGAAGGTCCCAGTGCTACCGTTCGCATGCGTCCCCCACACCCAGTACAGCGTTTCGTGGCCCCCCCTAGGAAAACACCACCGAAGGTCCCAGTGCTACCATTCGCAGGCGTCCCCCACGCCCAGTACAGCGCTTCCTGGCCCCATAGGGAGCCCCACCGAAACCCCTAGTAGGACTGTCCGCATGCGTACCAGAAGCTTAATTTAGCATTGTCACCCCATCCAGTACGGCGCTTCGTGGCCCCATAGACAGCCCCACCGAAGCCCCCTGTGGGACCGCCCGCATACGTCTCGGAAACCCAATTTGGCATTTTTGACCACCCAGTACGGCGTTTCGTGGCCCCATAGGGAGCTCCATCGAACCCCCCAGTGGGACCGTCCGCATGCGCCCTGGAAACCAAATTTGGCACACCCCTTATACGTTTCGTGGCCCCATAGGGAGCTCAGCCGAAGCCACCAGTGGGACCGCCCGCATGCGTCCCACACACCAAATTTGGCATTTTCACCCCACCCAGTACGGCGTTGGCCCCATAGGGAGCTCGACCGACGGCACCAGTTCTACCGCCTGCGTGCGTTTCCCCCCACCCAGTGCAGCGCTTCGTGGCCCCATAGGGAGGTTTACCGAAGAACATATTCACAATTGCGGTACCCACAACTGCATATGGTTGGGTCCTTCGCCAGTTTTTTTTTGTTTTTGTTTTATTATTGAAACATCGTTTTTTTATACATGTGTGTGTGTGTGTGTCGGGGGGGATGGACGAAACGCGCACCAGGGGCCCCCTACTGGGACCGTGCTGGTAACGTACCCTTCCGCGAAATCGATCACGAAATGAGTGGCTCAACGTAACAAGTGGAGCCATGATACCACATCAACAAGCCCCCAGCTTGCAGCTAGGTCTGGAGGCCTAGCCAGGATCTTGTCTACGCGAGGACAGTCTTCGACTATCAGGTATGGTGTAAACCTATTAGGTCAACGCGCCGATGTCACATACAGCACGTTCCTCCTCAGCACCAAATTCAGAAACCCCGAGGACGAACGACAGCTCACATCAGAAGCGGCCCTCGTCGGCTTCAGGGCGAATGACGTGAGCGCATCGATTCGGTACTAGCTCAATCCGAGGTGGCCTGATTGGAAGTGTATTCGGCTGGGTTGAACATCCTTATGTTCCAGATCTTACCGTTCCTGCTGCTTCGAGCCCTCGGAGTAAGTTCTCCGCGAACCTTCGCAACTACTACAGCCCGTTAAGCACCAGTCGCCCGAACTCAACAACAGCACGACCAATTTCTGGAGCGGATGCGCAGCTGCGGACACCTGGCTGAGCGCACCCCCGGAGACATCGGCAGGCTCTTTCTCGGTCGGGCTGCCTGGGCCTTCCCCGCCGATGCAAGCAACGCGTTGGCTGCCACGCCTGGCATCATCTGGGGCGATCAGGAGCCAACCGAATCTGCAACGCCTCTAGTGATTGGCCTGTTTTCCACCACCACCACCATAAGCTGGAGGGGGAGGGGGTCCTCCTCCTCCTCTCCTTCGTCCTCCTCCTCCTCGTCCTCCTCCTCCTTCCCCCCTCCAACTTATGGTGGTGGTGGTGGAAAACACGCCCATCATCTAGGTCAGGAAACTGGCAAGGCACGAGCGGCCGACCCCGCCAACAGTTGGTCGGCCGCAGCTGCAGCCAGCAGCGCAGTGCCTGCCACGACTACATTTTTGGGGGTCGTCAAACGGACGCCACGATTCACCCCTCGGGTCCAAACCCTCGACGTGGCGCTGACCCTCGACGTGGCGCTGCAGGAGAGGGGGGGAGGGCGAGGAGGAGACGGAGGATGGATGCCGGAGGAACCGGGGGAGGCCTCACGTCGCCCCTCAGTCTCCCTCGCGCCGAGCCCTCCTCCGTGCCGCCCTGTGCCTCCTCCGTTCTTTGCCCTGACAAGTCGGGGGTGGACAGAACGGCAGCGACGCCCAAACCTGCACAACCACCGGTGTTGCTGAGATCGACTGGTCAGATCTACCCGCTGCGGACCATCGGGCATCGACATCTTTGTATGATTCGGCCATCATCATGCCTAAAGCCGCGGCAGGCGACGTATGGAAAATTACCCAGGCGAAGGACCCAACCATATGCAGTTGTGAGTAACGCGTTGTGTGTGCCGCTTTCAGTGGAGCTTCCTATGCGACCACGAAGCGCGTGAGAGACGTCCTGTAATGGGTGGGGGATACGTATGCGAGCGGTGCCGCTGGGGCCTTCGGTAGAGCCCCCTATGGGCCCGCGAAACGGTGCACTGGGCGTGTCGGGCGCATGCGGGCGGTGCCTTTCGCTGGAACTCCCGACGAGGCCACGAAATTCTGTGCTGTGATTGGGGGAGACGCACGCGGGCGGTGCCACGGGGGTCTTTCTGGAGTCCATTGCTTCACTGCTTGGGGCATGGCGGGCGTCATGGCCCCTGTTCCCCCCCCCCCCTTATGACGTAACGCCCTCCCCCAGTGCGCTCCGGGCACGGTCGCTGCCGCCGTGCGCATCGGGATCCGCGTAGGTGTCCGCATAGGAGTCCGCATAGGAGTTTTGTGCGCAGTCGTCGTCGTCGTCGCTCGTGGTTGTCGCTCGTCGCACATCGTCGTCGTGCGCGCGGACGCGGCTGGAGCCTGTTTTCATTCCGGGCCGACGGCGGCAATCATCAGGGGGTGTGGAGGGGGGCGATGACGTCACGTTTCGCGCCGGCGGCGTCTGGGAATGCCCAGGAATGGCGAAGGACGGGTAACACCAGCATGTTGGTGGCGATTTGCACCGCAACGCTCGTGTACACCACAGTGCCTGCGTGCACCACAGCGAGTGTGTACACCACACCGCGTATGTACACCATAGCAACCGCGTGCATCACAACGTCAATTTATGCCACCGTGCCTGCGGGCACAACAACTGTTGTGTACACATCAGCGCTTGCGTACACCACATCAGCCGTGTGCGACACAACACAAATATACACCACAATGCCTGCGTGCATTGCAGTGCCTGGGTACACCACGGCACCTGTGTGCACCGCAGCAACCGTGTGCAACACAGCACCATTGTTGCATATAGAATGTTCGAAGGAATTTTTCTCACAAAATGGACCGCTGGTGGATTCCACAGAAAACAAACAAATCTTTATGGACCAAGGAGTGCCGCTGGAATCTACGAGTCCTTCCGAGTCCGCACGACCCTAGCTCCCCCCATCTGCGTCCAGGAGGTCTCAGCTAAATTGGCCGTCCGAAAACCAAATGGACCGATTCAACAAACATTCGCGGTTCACGCTGAAATGCGCACGTGCGCTGTAGCGCCAACCCGCACGACAGGGGGTAAGGAGGAGGAGGGAGAGGAAGAGGAGGAGGAGGAGGAGGAGGAGGAGGAGGAGGAGGAGGAGGAGGAGGAGGAGGAGGTGGAGGAGGAGGAGGAGGAGGAGGAGGATAAGGAGGAGGAGGAGGAGGCGGAGGAAGAGGGGGGAGGGAACAACGCCGCATTCGATTATCAGCAATTTCCCGGCGTGGCGTTTAGTTGTCCGCAGCAGTTGTCCGCAGCATATCTTCACAGACATGCTCCTTATACCTTTTCCTATGCACGCAAGCGCTGTGGTGTACACCAACGTTGCGTTGCACGCGGATGTTGTGGTGTAGACAGGCGGCGTGGCGTGCACAGGCGCTGCGGTGCACGCAAGCATTGTGTGGTGTACACAGGCGCTGTGTTGCACGTGGTTGCTGCGGTGTACACGTGTATACCGGCGGTGTAGTGTACGCAAGCACCGTGGTGTACACAGGCGCTGCGTTGCACACGGTTGTTGCGGTGTACGCAGGCGCTGTGGTGTACGCGCGCGGTGTGGTTCACGCGCAGTGGGGCAGATCGACACCTACATGAGGCTCGCGTCGTCGTCGTCGTCGTCGTCGGCGTCGTCGTCGTCGTCGCTCGTCGCTCGTCGCGTCGTGCGCCCGTACGTCATCCCCCCCCCCCCCCCCCCCCCCCCCGTGACGCTCGTCTACGGGGCCACGAAACGCTGTACTGGATCTTCGGTGGGGCCCCCTATGGGGACACGAAACGGTGCGCTGGGAGGGGGCCCGTGCGGGCGGTGCCACCTGGGCCTTCGGTGAAGCTTCGTCTGGGCCCACGAAGCGCTGCTCGGGGTGGGGGTCGCATGCGGGCGGGCTACTGGAGTTCCTTGCGGGGCCGCGAAACGCTATGCCGGGTGGTGGGGGCGCATGTGGGCGGTGCCATTGGGGCTTGGTGGAGCTCCCAAACAATGGGGCCGCGAAATCGAGTACTGGGTGGTGGACGGCGCATGCGGGCAGTGCCACTGGGGTCTTTCTGTGGAGCTTCGTATGGGGCCACGAAACGCTGTGTTGGACGGTTGCTGACGCATTTGGGCGGTCCCACTGGGACCATTGGTGGAGTTCACCATGGGGCCACGAAGCGCTGCTCTGGGTGCTGGCTGACGCACGCGGGCGGCCCCGCTGCGACCTTCGGTGGGGCCATCCTAGGAGACCACGAAGCGCTGTGCTGGGTGGTGGCTGACGCATGCGGGCGGTGCCACTGGGTCCTTCGGTGGAACCCCCTTATGGGGCCAGAAGCGCTGTGCTGGAGCTCCCTATGGGGTCACGAAGCGCAGTGCTGGGTGGGTGAATCGCAGGGGGGAGGGGCTGTGCTGGGTGGTGGCTGACGTATGCGGGCGGTGCCACTGGGGCCTTCGGTGGAGCCCCCTTACGGGGCCACCGAGCACCATACTGTGTGGGTGAAACGCAGGGGGGAAGGGCCGTGTTGGGTGGTGGCTGACGCGCGCGGGCGGCCCCGCTGGGACCTTCGGTGGAACTCCTTAGGGGGCCACGAAACGCTGTGCTCGGTTGGTGAGTTGTAGGCAGGAAGGGCTGTGCTGGGCGGTGGTTGACGCGCGCGGGCTGTCCCACTGGGGCCTTTGGTGGAGCTCTCTGGTGGAGCTTCCTATGGGGCCACGGAGCGGTGCAGTGGGTGGGTGAAGCGCAGGGGGGGGGGGGGGGGGGGGCTGTGCTGGGCGGTGGCTGACGCGCGCGGGCGGTGCCGCTGGGCCGTCGCGGGGCCCGGGCTGGGGTTGGTGAGCGCAGGGGCAGGGGGGTGGGGGGTGGGGTGGTGGTGGTGGGGGGGGGGGGGGGGGGGGGGTGCGTTTTTTTTTTTTTTTTTGGGGGGGGGGGCAGCGGGGGGGGGGGCGCGGGGGCCGTCTCTTCAAAGCGAGGGCCCAATGCCGCAATATTTTCGGGGGGAAAACAGCTGGGGCCGCGGGCAGCGAGCGCGACGTCGCCCAGAGAGACAAGTCACGTTCATCGCATGTGATCGGTATCATCCCCTTCTCGGCTGATGGGCTTGGCCGCGGGCTCGACGGCGAGGGGCTGCCGCCACTTCCGCGCCCTCCGACGCCGCGGGCGGGCGCGCCGCAGGCGGCGCGACCAGCGCGCGCCCGGGCCCGACCAACGGAGCAGACAGAGCGGCGGGCATCGAACCAAAGACATGCGTCTCCCCCACCCAGTACAGCGTTTCGTGGCCCCATAGAGAGCTCCACCGAAAGCGGTACCCGCAATGCGGTACTTGCAGCTGCATATGGTTGGGTCCTTCGTCAGGCTAATTTTGTCTTGTTTTTGATCGGGACAGTGGGGGAAGGGGGTTGGCATTGGCCCAGGTTAGGGGCCGGTAGAGTTTGGAGGGTGTGTGTGTCTATGATTCAGGAGAATCGGAAGGGGGTGGGGTATGTTCTTGCTGGGGTTGGTCCAGGTCCTGGAGGTGGGGGGATTTTCAAGGTTGGTGATGTGTCCCCGTTCCGGCGAGTGTGTGTGTGTGTGTGTTAGCGGATTTTGTGACGCATTGAACCCGTGGAAGACGCTCTTTCCTCTCATGGGAATGGCGCTTTGCGGTGGCGATGGCGATGGTTGAGTCTTAATTCTTTGAGCAGGCAAGCCAATGCTGGCATAGTTGTGAAAACGCTCATACTTATAGTTGTGGAGTGAAGTGATGACGCTTGTCTTGGCGGTGTCTACGGGACAGCTTTCGGTAAGTCTCAGAGGTAGCCCTGATATTGGCCTAAGTATCGCAAGGCTGGCTTCGATTTTTTTGTTGCTTTTGTTTTCCTCCTAGTTGATAACACTGTCCAACGGGTTTTGAGACATGCTGCACGCTCCTCTCTGACTCGAGGAGATCTCGGAAGACGAATTCGTGCAGTGGAAGCGGCTCACTCTCAAGCTGAACGGAGACGTGGGCTGCTGGGAAGGGGATCCAAGGGGAGATCCAGTCCACATGTCCACAGTCCACTTTTCCAGCGCGGATAGTGCTTTCACATTGTTTTGTAATTTCGTCATCAGCTCCATGGGATCGGATGCCATTCCACTTTCACTTCATTCTGGTCGATTCAAGTCTGCCGTCTCGCCATCAGGAACTGTTTCCCTTCGTGTGCAGTTATCTCACGCCACCGTTCTCCCTTTGTCTGGAGTTCTCAGAGTTTTCAATGCGTGTGTCGTCAATGCATAGGAGCGACGGCAACGGTGCAGAAATGCGCTGACCCGCCCAAGCAGAGCTCAAGAGGTCATCGAAATTTGCGAGCGGCGCGCCCGATTAGGCGTGCCGTCAAGATTGAGGTATGAATGCGGTCTGATGGCACCCATTGGAATGCAACCACGCGGGTTGCTGCTGGATCTGGCAGCAGAGGAGCGTAGACAGGAACAGTGGCAACGCATCGCCCTCGGAAGGAGAGGCAATCTCGGGACGACTACGGGTCTATCGCGATGGCAGTCGTGTTCCCCCCTTCCTCGCCCCACTCCTCCCTTGTCCCCGCGAGCGAGGAGGAGGAGGAGAAGGAGGAGGAGGAGGAGGCGGCGGAAGACGAGGAGGAGGAGGAGGAGGAGGAGGACTGTAGTGTAATGCTGATGCCCTTGATGGCAGGCATCAGGTGTCGATTCGGGTGGGACACACGGGTTCTCCCATCCTTGAAAGTGGTGCTCTTGAAGGTGGGATTGGCAAACCGCATGGTCCTGGAGCTTGTTCCCAGGACCGTTGCAGGCACCTGGTATGTGTGGATAGTATGCGCAATTCGCATCCTTGTGACAACCATACCTGTGCAAATCAACGAAGCTAGGTAGGACCATCGGCATTGCGGCCGGGCTGTGCCCAGGAGGTCAGTACCTCGGCGGGTGCGAATGCAGGACCGCCTGCATTGCGGCTGGGCTGTGCTCTGGAGGTCAGTATCTCAAGCGGGCACCACCACGGTAGCTCATATTGCCACCCAGCTTGCAGGTGACAGGGGGAACTGTCTCCTCAGCATGACGGGTCGCCATATGAGGGTGACAGGGGCGACCTGATCCACAGCAGGCTTCATCGCCATCTCGGGAGTGACAGGGGGCATGCTCCGCGACAGCCCGATTGCCACACCTGTTCAGGTGACGTGGGACCTGCTCCTCAGCAGGACAGGTCAGACACCCGTTGGCCACCGCACGTGGGAGGTACAGCAATCGCCAGTCCTCGCTGCAGGTTGTGGGTGCCTTGGGCATCTATCTCCATCGGGTGCTGGAAGTGAACCCATCCTCCGTCCCGATATCAAGGGCGCCGCTCCAGGGGTGATGGGGGGATATTTTCTCCAACCAGTGCGGAACCCAATTGCCGAGAAGACATGGGGGACCTACTCCTCGGGGGTGACCCTTGGAGCAGCAAAGAAAAGGAAGGGCCTATCCAGGGGACCTGCTCCACAGCTGGACGGATCGCCACTTGGGGTGACGGAGGGGACCTGCTGCACAGCAGGACAGATCCTCACTCCGAGTGTGACAAGGGTGATCTGCTCCACAGCAGGACAGACCACCCTCTGTGGAGAATGATGCATGCCTGACCACACATTCAGAGGATGGGCTGGCATCCCCCGGAATTCTTTGGGTGTTTCGGCATCCGCCCGTTCGCCTTCAGGTCCAAGTGTTTTGTCCCATTGCCAGAACCTGATCCCCTTCACGAGGCACGATGGGGGAGGGAACGGACGGCGGACGGCCTTCTCTAACAACAGTTTCCGATACGTTGACCAATGTGCCGCCTCTTCAGCGGCAGGGGTGATCGTCTCCGCATCAGGACGGATCGCCGCGGTGACAAGGGGGACCCCTGCTTCAAAGCATGGCGGCTCGCCACCCCAAGGGGCGGCAGAGCGACATGCTCGTCAGGACGGATTTTCAGCCTGGGGGTGACAGGGAGAACCCGCTCCACAGCAGGACAGATCGCCACCTTGGGGGTGGCAGGGGGTGTCTGCTTCACAGCGTGACTGATCGCAGCCCTAGTGGCGCAATGGGGGATCTAGGTGACAGAGGGCACCCTCTTCTCCGCTGGACAGGTCGCCGCCCTACTTAGGGATGACAGGGAGGACTTGCTCAGAGCATTGCATCGCCACCCTGGGGGTGGACATTGGGGACCTGCTCCACATTAATCCAGATCGCCGCCCTAGTGGTCACAGGGGGGATCTGCTCCGCGGCAGGACGGATCGCCACCAGGGGTGACAGAGGGGACCTGCTGCACAGCAGGGAACACAGCGACCTGATGGGTGACAGAGGTAGGACTGGGCTAAGACGAGGAGAACTGTTCGAGAGCGTTCCTCAGAGCGTTCCCGAAAGCTCTGAGCAGGCCGCGGCGCCCAAGACATCCTCCAGAGCCGCCAGGTCTCGGAGATTTTCGATTCATTCTCACTCGACTGGCTTCGCCTTCAGAGGGAGCCAGTGGATCTACACCACAGGGGGCCAGATCGTCGTCCAGAGCATCTGGTATGCATTCGGACTTGGGCAACCAGCTCCACACTGCAGAGCAGGTTGTGCACACATGGACTCGGGAACGCCCTTGGCAGCAAGGCAGTGTCGAAACATAGATGGGAAGGGGAGATCTCTCGGACATTGTATACTTATCTATATGACCACGCTTCGGGTGATGAGGAAGTTCGGGGGGGAAGTCCAACGTCTCACTCAATCGATCTCACTTACGGTCTCACTATGGATCTCACTATCGTCTCAACTGCGACATACGGGCTCGGGAATAGCCCAGGACAGCAGATCAGCCTACACTCTTCCAGGCTCGGGAATAGAGGAGGTTGGCGGAGGATGATGGACACGGGATGGGGGGGCAGGAGGGGTAAGGGTGGCGGGGGGGACTTGTTTGACAGCAAGGCGGTCCGTCGCCCCAGCGGGGCCCGGGGCGAAAGGTGACGGGGGGGACTGCCCCACAGCAGGACGAATCGACACCTTCTGGGGTGACAAAGAGGAGCCTGCTCCACAGCAGGACGGATCGCCATCCTCGGGCTGACAGGGAGGACCTGACTCACAGCAGGACGGCTCGCCACCGCAGGGGTGGCATGAGGGGTCTGCTGCACAGCAGGCAGCAGAATAGGGCCGAACGCCACCCAGGGGCGACCGATGAGACCTGCTCCATCTCGTAGTGGGTCGCCACCCTGAGGGTGACAGGGGACAGCACATCGCCACTCACGTTTAGGGGGAGGGGGCCCTGCTGCACAGCAGGGCGGATTACCTTGCGTGTGTTGCAGGAGTGAGGCACGGAACCAATTCTTGACGCTTCGCGTATCCCCACCAGCGCTGGAACAGGACAGCGCATCTTCTTGGGAGCGCGCGGGAGCCTGGCTGGATCGCACGCCCAGCTCCACCCCATGGTACCAAGGACGCGACCGCCCCGCCTTTGAAGATGCCGGAGACGGGAGAGGACGCGCCGCCAAGTCCCCAATGGGGGAACCCCATGCGCACGGAGGCTCGCAGGGAGCCCTGGAAGGACAACAGGGGTGCCCAGCCATACTACGAGGGACTTAACGACCCCAAGGGCGGCGGCCCCATGTACCGATGCACTGTACAGGCCGCGGACGTGGGAAGGGACGAACCCATCCAGGACAAAATCACACGCCTGCAAAAGACATTGGGAGGCACCTTCGAAGCTATATGGCACGCGTGGATCAAGCGGGCTGCCCAGAGTCAGGACCTCAAGGGAGGCTACAAGAACAACCCGCGGCTCAACACACCTGAGATGTGTATAGACTTTCTGGAAGCATGGGCCAACGTTGGCCACGACGCATATCGGATGGATCGTGAGCTCAGACTCGGCATCGACTGGGTCGAAGTTCGACGCAGGCACATGGACTTCCCCGTGCGACACGACACTACCGCACACGCCCCACGCGCACATGGCAGCTGCGACGCACCAGCTCCCTGGACCGCCGAGAACCGCACGGATGCGCATGCAGCGGCACATGACCCCTGGGCAAGAACCATCGGAACCGCCACCCCCGGACACTGGGCGGGGCTGGCAGGAATGGGCCTCGTGGGAACGGCGAGACACCCCATGGACGGACTCCGAGTGGAAAGGCGGGGGCAAACGGTACTCTCCACAAGGGGACGACCGCGACTCCGCGAAGCGGGCCCGCTGGTGGGCCAAGGAAGACTTTAACACCCAAGGTTGACGTGCTCCCGCCACGGCGTACCTCAGCGTACCAACACCCAGGTACAGGCAGCACAGAGAGGACCCATGGTCCCCACCCCCAGCCACCCGTGGCCCTGAATGGGGCCTGTCTCACCTCGCTGCGCCCGGCTCTGGCCGTAATGCCCGGGGCCGCCCTCCGCTGGGGCGAAGGCGCCCCCCCCCATTTCACCCATGGCCTAGCTTAGCTAGACAGCCTTCGCTGGATAAGTGGACCACCAGCCACCTCTCCGGGCCCGCCGCTGGGGCATCCCCCGCATGCGCCCGACATCTCACCCCCACTTGCCCTGCGGGGCCACGCCTGGTCACACCGGTCGCACCCCCAGGCGCCCAGACTTTGCTGTCCGAAGACGACAGCCTGCCCCGTCGCACCCTAGGCCGGAGGCGGGCCCCCCCCCCCTCCTGCTTGGGCGCCGGCTCAGACAGACCCAGCTGGGTCTCAGTTTTGAGGCGCCGCAGGCGCCAGATTATGCACATCAACAGCGGTTAGCTGCGACCCTGGATGAACTCCCACACCGTTCCACGGATGAGACGGCCCTCGAGGTGGCGGCCCTGCCTTCAGCGTGTCAACCCACTGGCTGCATGCCGCCCACCTTGGGCCACGAGTAGTGGGCGGATAGATCTACCGTTCGGTACTACCCTCCTCCCAGCGGCGGTTAGCTGCGACCCTGGATGCCGCTCGGGGAATGGCGGCAGTGCCCCCCGGTCAGGTGCACCTGGGATCCGCGCGAGGTGCGGCGATGTCCGTTCCCACCGCCCCT